TATTAGATTAATTAATTTTGATTAGTATTCAAGTTTAAATTGATGGGTTTTTGCTTGTTTCAGGCGGCTTGTGTTCAAAATGTATTAGATTAATTAATTTTGATTAGTATTCAAGTTTAAATTGATGGGTTTTTGCTTGTTTCAGGCGGCTTGTGTTCAAAATGTATTAGATTAATTAATTTTGATTAGTATTCAAGTTTAAATTGATGGGTTTTTGCTTGTTTCAGGCGGCTTGTGTTCAAAATGTATTAGATTAATTAATTTTGATTAGTATTCAAGTTTAAATTGATGGGTTTTTGCTTGTTTCAGGCGGCTTGTGTTCAAAATGTATTAGATTAATTAATTTTGATTAGTATTCAAGTTTAAATTGATGGGTTTTTGCTTGTTTCAGGCGGCTTGTGTTCAAAATGTATTAGATTAATTAATTTTGATTAGTATTCAAGTTTAAATTGATGGGTTTTTGCTTGTTTCAGGCGGCTTGTGTTCAAAATGTATTAGATTAATTAATTTTGATTAGTATTCAAGTTTAAATTGATGGGTTTTTGCTTGTTTCAGGCGGCTTGTGTTCAAAATGTATTAGATTAATTAATTTTGATTAGTATTCAAGTTTAAATTGATGGGTTTTTGCTTGTTTCAGGCGGCTTGTGTTCAAAATGTATTAGATTAATTAATTTTGATTAGTATTCAAGTTTAAATTGATGGGTTTTTGCTTGTTTCAGGCGGCTTGTGTTCAAAATGTATTAGATTAATTAATTTTGATTAGTATTCAAGTTTAAATTGATGGGTTTTTGCTTGTTTCAGGCGGCTTGTGTTCAAAATGTATTAGATTAATTAATTTTGATTAGTATTCAAGTTTAAATTGATGGGTTTTTGCTTGTTTCAGGCGGCTTGTGTTCAAAATGTATTAGATTAATTAATTTTGATTAGTATTCAAGTTTAAATTGATGGGTTTTTGCTTGTTTCAGGCGGCTTGTGTTCAAAATGTATTAGATTAATTAATTTTGATTAGTATTCAAGTTTAAATTGATGGGTTTTTGCTTGTTTCAGGCGGCTTGTGTTCAAAATGTATTAGATTAATTAATTTTGATTAGTATTCAAGTTTAAATTGATGGGTTTTTGCTTGTTTCAGGCGGCTTGTGTTCAAAATGTATTAGATTAATTAATTTTGATTAGTATTCAAGTTTAAATTGATGGGTTTTTGCTTGTTTCAGGCGGCTTGTGTTCAAAATGTATTAGATTAATTAATTTTGATTAGTATTCAAGTTTAAATTGATGGGTTTTTGCTTGTTTCAGGCGGCTTGTGTTCAAAATGTATTAGATTAATTAATTTTGATTAGTATTCAAGTTTAAATTGATGGGTTTTTGCTTGTTTCAGGCGGCTTGTGTTCAAAATGTATTAGATTAATTAATTTTGATTAGTATTCAAGTTTAAATTGATGGGTTTTTGCTTGTTTCAGGCGGCTTGTGTTCAAAATGTATTAGATTAATTAATTTTGATTAGTATTCAAGTTTAAATTGATGGGTTTTTGCTTGTTTCAGGCGGCTTGTGTTCAAAATGTATTAGATTAATTAATTTTGATTAGTATTCAAGTTTAAATTGATGGGTTTTTGCTTGTTTCAGGCGGCTTGTGTTCAAAATGTATTAGATTAATTAATTTTGATTAGTATTCAAGTTTAAATTGATGGGTTTTTGCTTGTTTCAGGCGGCTTGTGTTCAAAATGTATTAGATTAATTAATTTTGATTAGTATTCAAGTTTAAATTGATGGGTTTTTGCTTGTTTCAGGCGGCTTGTGTTCAAAATGTATTAGATTAATTAATTTTGATTAGTATTCAAGTTTAAATTGATGGGTTTTTGCTTGTTTCAGGCGGCTTGTGTTCAAAATGTATTAGATTAATTAATTTTGATTAGTATTCAAGTTTAAATTGATGGGTTTTTGCTTGTTTCAGGCGGCTTGTGTTCAAAATGTATTAGATTAATTAATTTTGATTAGTATTCAAGTTTAAATTGATGGGTTTTTGCTTGTTTCAGGCGGCTTGTGTTCAAAATGTATTAGATTAATTAATTTTGATTAGTATTCAAGTTTAAATTGATGGGTTTTTGCTTGTTTCAGGCGGCTTGTGTTCAAAATGTATTAGATTAATTAATTTTGATTAGTATTCAAGTTTAAATTGATGGGTTTTTGCTTGTTTCAGGCGGCTTGTGTTCAAAATGTATTAGATTAATTAATTTTGATTAGTATTCAAGTTTAAATTGATGGGTTTTTGCTTGTTTCAGGCGGCTTGTGTTCAAAATGTATTAGATTAATTAATTTTGATTAGTATTCAAGTTTAAATTGATGGGTTTTTGCTTGTTTCAGGCGGCTTGTGTTCAAAATGTATTAGATTAATTAATTTTGATTAGTATTCAAGTTTAAATTGATGGGTTTTTGCTTGTTTCAGGCGGCTTGTGTTCAAAATGTATTAGATTAATTAATTTTGATTAGTATTCAAGTTTAAATTGATGGGTTTTTGCTTGTTTCAGGCGGCTTGTGTTCAAAATGTATTAGATTAATTAATTTTGATTAGTATTCAAGTTTAAATTGATGGGTTTTTGCTTGTTTCAGGCGGCTTGTGTTCAAAATGTATTAGATTAATTAATTTTGATTAGTATTCAAGTTTAAATTGATGGGTTTTTGCTTGTTTCAGGCGGCTTGTGTTCAAAATGTATTAGATTAATTAATTTTGATTAGTATTCAAGTTTAAATTGATGGGTTTTTGCTTGTTTCAGGCGGCTTGTGTTCAAAATGTATTAGATTAATTAATTTTGATTAGTATTCAAGTTTAAATTGATGGGTTTTTGCTTGTTTCAGGCGGCTTGTGTTCAAAATGTATTAGATTAATTAATTTTGATTAGTATTCAAGTTTAAATTGATGGGTTTTTGCTTGTTTCAGGCGGCTTGTGTTCAAAATGTATTAGATTAATTAATTTTGATTAGTATTCAAGTTTAAATTGATGGGTTTTTGCTTGTTTCAGGCGGCTTGTGTTCAAAATGTATTAGATTAATTAATTTTGATTAGTATTCAAGTTTAAATTGATGGGTTTTTGCTTGTTTCAGGCGGCTTGTGTTCAAAATGTATTAGATTAATTAATTTTGATTAGTATTCAAGTTTAAATTGATGGGTTTTTGCTTGTTTCAGGCGGCTTGTGTTCAAAATGTATTAGATTAATTAATTTTGATTAGTATTCAAGTTTAAATTGATGGGTTTTTGCTTGTTTCAGGCGGCTTGTGTTCAAAATGTATTAGATTAATTAATTTTGATTAGTATTCAAGTTTAAATTGATGGGTTTTTGCTTGTTTCAGGCGGCTTGTGTTCAAAATGTATTAGATTAATTAATTTTGATTAGTATTCAAGTTTAAATTGATGGGTTTTTGCTTGTTTCAGGCGGCTTGTGTTCAAAATGTATTAGATTAATTAATTTTGATTAGTATTCAAGTTTAAATTGATGGGTTTTTGCTTGTTTCAGGCGGCTTGTGTTCAAAATGTATTAGATTAATTAATTTTGATTAGTATTCAAGTTTAAATTGATGGGTTTTTGCTTGTTTCAGGCGGCTTGTGTTCAAAATGTATTAGATTAATTAATTTTGATTAGTATTCAAGTTTAAATTGATGGGTTTTTGCTTGTTTCAGGCGGCTTGTGTTCAAAATGTATTAGATTAATTAATTTTGATTAGTATTCAAGTTTAAATTGATGGGTTTTTGCTTGTTTCAGGCGGCTTGTGTTCAAAATGTATTAGATTAATTAATTTTGATTAGTATTCAAGTTTAAATTGATGGGTTTTTGCTTGTTTCAGGCGGCTTGTGTTCAAAATGTATTAGATTAATTAATTTTGATTAGTATTCAAGTTTAAATTGATGGGTTTTTGCTTGTTTCAGGCGGCTTGTGTTCAAAATGTATTAGATTAATTAATTTTGATTAGTATTCAAGTTTAAATTGATGGGTTTTTGCTTGTTTCAGGCGGCTTGTGTTCAAAATGTATTAGATTAATTAATTTTGATTAGTATTCAAGTTTAAATTGATGGGTTTTTGCTTGTTTCAGGCGGCTTGTGTTCAAAATGTATTAGATTAATTAATTTTGATTAGTATTCAAGTTTAAATTGATGGGTTTTTGCTTGTTTCAGGCGGCTTGTGTTCAAAATGTATTAGATTAATTAATTTTGATTAGTATTCAAGTTTAAATTGATGGGTTTTTGCTTGTTTCAGGCGGCTTGTGTTCAAAATGTATTAGATTAATTAATTTTGATTAGTATTCAAGTTTAAATTGATGGGTTTTTGCTTGTTTCAGGCGGCTTGTGTTCAAAATGTATTAGATTAATTAATTTTGATTAGTATTCAAGTTTAAATTGATGGGTTTTTGCTTGTTTCAGGCGGCTTGTGTTCAAAATGTATTAGATTAATTAATTTTGATTAGTATTCAAGTTTAAATTGATGGGTTTTTGCTTGTTTCAGGCGGCTTGTGTTCAAAATGTATTAGATTAATTAATTTTGATTAGTATTCAAGTTTAAATTGATGGGTTTTTGCTTGTTTCAGGCGGCTTGTGTTCAAAATGTATTAGATTAATTAATTTTGATTAGTATTCAAGTTTAAATTGATGGGTTTTTGCTTGTTTCAGGCGGCTTGTGTTCAAAATGTATTAGATTAATTAATTTTGATTAGTATTCAAGTTTAAATTGATGGGTTTTTGCTTGTTTCAGGCGGCTTGTGTTCAAAATGTATTAGATTAATTAATTTTGATTAGTATTCAAGTTTAAATTGATGGGTTTTTGCTTGTTTCAGGCGGCTTGTGTTCAAAATGTATTAGATTAATTAATTTTGATTAGTATTCAAGTTTAAATTGATGGGTTTTTGCTTGTTTCAGGCGGCTTGTGTTCAAAATGTATTAGATTAATTAATTTTGATTAGTATTCAAGTTTAAATTGATGGGTTTTTGCTTGTTTCAGGCGGCTTGTGTTCAAAATGTATTAGATTAATTAATTTTGATTAGTATTCAAGTTTAAATTGATGGGTTTTTGCTTGTTTCAGGCGGCTTGTGTTCAAAATGTATTAGATTAATTAATTTTGATTAGTATTCGAGTTTAAATTGATGGGGTTTTGCTTGTTTCAGACGACATGTGTTCAAAATGTTATTAAATTCATTGATTTTTTTATGAGTGTTTGAGTTTTTATTGATGTTTTTCTTTTGTCTCAGGCAGTGTGCATTCAAAATGTTATTAAATTCGTTGATTTTGATTATTATTCGAGCTTATATTGATGGATTTTTGCTTGTTTTAGGTGCCCCATGTTCAAAATCTATTTGATTCATTAATTTTGATTAGTATTCAAGTTTATGTTGATTAGTTTTTGCTTGTTTTAGGTGTCCTGTGTTCAAAATGTATTAGATCCATTAATTCCGGCATTGTTGGCTGATAAAAATCGGAAGTTCATTTTCATTGAACAGGTAACAACCCATTTCCTTTCGATATATGTATTATATAAATGGATTTGTTACTGACACAATCACACGAAGATACGCAGATTGAAAGTTGAATTGATTGAGAGTTATATGTTTGATTACAGGCATTTTTCCAGCGATGGTGGAGGGACCAGAGCGAGGCAGTCCAGAGTATAACCAAGCAGTTTGTCAGCACAGATCAACTAGAGTTGATGTATACAATTGCATATGCCCATTTAATTTTATACCTAAAACTTGGTCTCTTTATTTGCTTTATTTTTTAAGTTCGCAAAGATGGAAAATGAGACCAATATGGTTTTGATTGAGCACGTTGCTCACAAGAGTGGCTATTTTAAGGCAGTGGACTAATTCAAATTTTTTTCCTTCTGTTTTTTGAATGGGTGCAGAAATGGTGGTTGCTGCATGGATGATGAGGCGGCCTCACATTATATTGACAAGATAGAACCGTTACGGCGACCGCAACCGCTTTTCAGAACCTTGCATATGCCCATTTAATTTTATACCTAAAACTTGGTCTCTTTATTTGCTTTATTTTTTAAGTTCGCAAAGATGGAAAATGAGACCAATATGGTTTTGATTGAGCACGTTGCTCACAAGAGTGGCTATTTTAAGGCAGTGGACTAATTCAAATTTTTTTCCTTCTGTTTTTTGAATGGGCGCAGAAATGGTGGTTGCTGCATGGACGATGAGGCGGCCTCACATTATATTGACAAGATAGATCAGACTACACTTGGGCACTGGTTTATCAAAGAGAAGTTCACTGTGACTCCAAGAGTTGGTTTGCAGATTGATCCCTTTGGTCATTCTGCAGTGCAGGCTTACCTTTTGGGGGCAAAGGTATGACTGTGTCAGTATTGTTAGTCCTTAGCATAGGTAATTGTTGTTTATGTATGGTTTTGTCACTAACCATCAAGACACTAAAGAATATTATTATCATGAAGGAAATAAAAAAAAAAAATTGTACAATCTCCAAAAAATTGAAAAAAAAGAAGTTAATTTGATCCACACAAGTTTACCATATTACACACTGCAAGTTGATTGAATTTGAGTTCTTTTGTTCATTTAGGTTGGATTTGACTCTTTTTTCTTCGGCCAAATTGACTACCAAGACAGAAATAAGTGAAAAAATGAGAAGAGCCTTGAGGTTGTCTGGCAGGGCTCTAAGGGTTTTGGTTCATCTGCACAGGTGAGTGACTCGGTGATGTTTGTAGCATAAACTATAAATGGCTCAATTTTTGTTGCTCTCCCCATTTTGTTTGGCCTCCACTGCAAGTAGAAACTTCTTATTGCTTTGTGAGGTAACACCCCCCCTCTCTCTCTCTCTCTCTCTCTCTCATTGAATCTATGAACTTCGAGAAGAGAAACTCTTTTGAACTTCTTTTATTTTCTGGAGTTTAGGGTCGTTATTTAGTTTATTTATTTATTATTTTTTTTATGACTTTGGTATTTTGATAGTTTGGTATTGTGGGTTATTTTCTAACTTTACATTATTTAAGTTGTTTTGACTATTTGTTACTACTTTAATGTTGGGAGGTATTGGATAGTCATGAATTTATGATGGATGGTTTGGTTGACATTTGTTTTTTTTTTATCCCTTGTATTTTTTTTTAGCATTGAAATTTACTTAAATAGATTGGGTCGAAAACATTTTGATTTTTGTTTCACCCTTAGGATTTGGATGATGAAATATTAATTGGGGTTTAGTTCTAATTTAATATTTAATTGTCCAAATTTTGGGTGTGACACAAACCAAATTTGATGAGGCAAAATCCAAGCAGATCAAGATAGAGACAGAGGCGAAAGTCCAACAATTCTGAAATTGGTGAAGCAAATTTGATTTTGGCGGGACAAAAAGGCGGGAGCCAAATAATGAAAGGTTTTTCATTCTTTATCTTTCATGCCATCCTTATCTACCATCTACACCACAAATTTGTTGTGTTTTCATCTTCTACGATCAGAGTTCATTAGGTATTCTTTCTCTCTTTCTCACTCTCATCAAACACACACAATACCTCTCTCTTCGTCACTTATTTATGATCTTCTTGTTTTAGGCATAAAACTTGATACAATTTGGAAAATCTAATCTTTTAACTCATGAATTTATTAATTCTCATCTTTTAATATAAAAGGTTAGTTGTGATTTACTATTATTGTATTTATGTTGTGATTTTATATAATATCTTGCAAGTGTTTGTTTAAATGCTTCAGTAGAATTTTGTATTATTTTGCTCTGTTTTTATTTTTATTTTTATACCCTTTTTTTGTTTGTAAGGATGAATAAGATAACAAAATAATACTAATCTATTTTCACACCATTACTTCAAGAAAGATTCTAAAACCCCATCTATGTAAAAAAAAAAATTGGCATTCGTAAACATGGTATTTCTAAAAGTCCCAATTAAGTGATTAAATCATGTGGCTTGCTTATTTACTAGAGAAATGCATATCACTTTAAGTTGTGATCATCTTCACTCTGGCGCTTTGTACTAGTTTATTTTTTAAATATTATTTATTAATTGTAAATATATAATTACTTAAATAGTTAAATCTTGATTTACAGATGGGAGATATAGTTGTTCTAAAAATTATCATTAGACCAACAGAAATAGTTGCAATCGGAGCACTTAAAAGCATAGACTATCTAAAAAAGTAGAAGGGGAAGAACTAGGACCTGACTATTGGGAGGTACATGTTCAAGTGCCAGTCAAACCTAATGAGAGCTTGATCCGATCATATGAACTTGTCAGAACAATTAGACAAGCTATTGGAGCTCATGTTGCTTAGCCAACTCCATTTGTGGTATATTTCTTTTGTAAATACTAATTTAATTAACAAATTTATATTAACTTAATATAGTTTCAATTACCTTTATATGTTTATCTTTTGGATGCAGATTTCGCAAGTTATGGATGCTAGCTGAGAATATTTATACAAATGAGGTTGAGAACTTGGAAATTGAATTTGTTTTGATAATTTGTCTCTTCGGAATATGGATATCACTATGGCTTTTCAGAATTTATGGTTGGAATAATTTTCTTTTAAATTTTTTTTTTTCTTTAACTTTGTTAGTGTGGTAGAATATTTTATAATTTTGATTTGTATTGCAATATACATAAATTTATATTTTTAGATAAAAAAATGATTGTGGTTTGAATTTTTTTGTTTTTGTTTTTAATGTGATGATCCTATGGTGGTAATATTTGTTTATTATTATGAAAATATTACATGATGAATGGATGTCAAATTAATATAGGATGTGGCAATAAATATTTATTTTTTTATAAAATTCATTCAATTTTTACAAGCATTTATGCATGTTTAGTTGTGACTTCTAAAAATGTCAATGAAAAGAACATATAGGTGGCATTTCGTAATAGTGGTAGTAGCTTTACAAAGTGTCACTAGAATAAGCTCCAATGACACTTATATCTATTTAATGGCACAAATGAATTGGATTTAGTGACATTTATGAAGTTGTTAAAAATATTAATTGTGGCATAACAAGCGTCATTAAAAATTTATAGTGGCATTTTTTAGATTGTAAGATTTTTTTAATGGCACTTGATAGTATCACGAATAGTGTTTACCATGACATTAAAGTGTCACTGAAAGTCTTTAGTCTTGATGGCGTAATGGCACTTACAAGTGTCACTGAAGTGCCACTAAATCTTTTTTTAATGGCGTTTGATAGTGTCACAAATAGTGCCTATCATGACATCAAAGTGTCATTGAAAGTCTTTAGTCATGATAGTGTAGTGGCACGTGTCACTGAGGTGCCACTAGTATCTACCGTGGCACGAGTATAAATGACACTTGTTTAAAATGCCACAAGGCTAAAATATGTCATTAGAAGAATAGTTTTGTGGCACTTTCAAATGTCACCAAACTTTTTTTTTCAAAGGGTTCACGGTATTTCACATAAACAAAACACAATCTAACAGAAAATGATGTGGGGCTTTTAACTTATCAATTAGTTAACGTTACTTATGCCTATGGTTAGTCCTCTAATACGCTAGTTACCAACCTTAAAATATATTATACAACGAACCTCTGCTTTAGAGATGGTCTAGTTCTTGTCAAATCCAACTGCCTAGAACAAATATCCACCAAGGCCATTCGCTCGAGTGAAGTTCACCTTGTTGCTGATCGATTCCATGTCATCATACCCAATCCAATTGGTTCTTGCATACGAGTATGTCGACACGGTCTCCTCATCAAACACAACAGAGGCATTGTTTGCCAAATCAAAATCCACAATATCACTATACTTCATGACCCCTAAATAGCCAGGTCCTGTCCCATTTGCAGGAGCTCCGATTCCATTCTGATTTGGGTCCTTCAATTTCCATGTCCTACCATACATGGGTAGCCCCATCACCAGTTCTCCGGCAGCACGCCATTTTCAACCCATATCGAAATACCATAGCTA